GTTGGAGACAAGTTTTCCTGGGAGAATGTAGCTAGTAAACAGCCATCTTGTCCCCAAATGGTGCTTCATCTATTATAAATTGCTTTTCATACTACCTGTTTCATATTTGCTTCCCTTTGTCCATCAGTTTTTTATGTCACCTACAGTGAATTAATTACAAAGAGTAAAAAAAAAAATCACAGTCTTTTGTTTTCTGGTGTGTTCTGTTTAAATAATATCCACAGCATGATACTGAGAAACCTTTTTTAAAATGGAAATAAAACTGGAAGAATCTGAGAACTTTTAATAATAGGCCTTGTAAGGCGACATCAGGGTGATTTAACAAATAATTCAGAGACACTGTGGGAAATGTCTGTAAAGATATGACACAAGTGACGGCCTGAAAAACTGATTGTATTTATTTGTGCTGTCTTCAGTCAAGGCTAGTTCCCAGGAAACCTTTCTGGAAATGCTCCTCCTTCACAGTAGGTCTAATGCTCACATTGCTTTCCCTGCCATTGTCTTTTCTTTCTTGCCTTATTCTGCATTCCACTGGAGAACTTGTCTGTGGTATTATTTGGTCAGTTTTCCTTCTTCCCATTTAGTGTGATGTAAACTCTTGGTAATTGAACCTTAGGGACAATGTTATATAATAGACCACTGGCTTTGGAATCTTGGGGCTGTGTTTTCTCTTAGTTCTGCTATTACACTGGGCTGTAGGAATTAATCTTTCTGAGGTTCCTGAATTTAATATAAATTGAGGAATTAGCGTCGGTAGACTTTTAATGATCATGAACAGCAAAAAAAGTTGGCAGTGGATAAGAAGTAAGGGGAGGTTGAGGAGGAGCGGCCGTGGAGAGATAAAGGGAAGGTGGGAGACTTGTCTATAATGGGATAATGCAGACAACGTTAAGCCAGGAAGTCCCAAGAACTGGGTGTTAGGGAATCAAGAGCTCAGAGAAACTTGCATTTATCCATAGCATTCCTCTTCAGTTTTGAGGAACATCTCTTCACCTTCCCGTAAGTCATCTTTCCAACTTTTACCTCAGATGCTATTTCTAAATTGCCTAAGATTTTAATTTTCTTTTGCAATTGAGATGAACCATCATCGCATACCAATCCCAATCTTTAATACCACCAGTGTATTTTGATTTTCCCTATTTTGTCTAAGTAATTAAAAGTGAGACATTGGTGAGAGAGGTAGGTAGACATGTGTCCTCCTCCCCCTTTAAATTCTTGTTAGTTTACAAGTCTCAAAGATTTCTGGAAAACCTTAAAGCTGGGTTTTTTCTCCAGGATCAGAGCGTAAGATTATATTCCTTCTCTGTGGTGGTCTGTATACTATACAAGGCCAAAGGAAAGTAGCCTGGTCCTGATGCAGACAACCTGTGAGATTAAATCAGTGGGATTTCCAAGAGAGCTATGTAATAGGATGACTTGAGTGTGCTGAGGGTTCCCAGCTCTGCTGCTTCTTAGACAAGTTAGTTTTTATGAATCTGTTTCTTCATATCTTAAAGAGGGGGAGTTGCTTAGAAAAACTATCCTGCCTACCTCTCTGATAAAGTATTTTGTGACCTATAAAGTTCTACGAACATACAGAGTATGTTTAAGGTTTTCTTTTTTGTTTGTTTGTTTTGGGGTGTGACTCTGCCAACTTCAGACTTTCTACATTTCAGTTTCCTGTTTAGACGTACAAGAGTGCCTCCTGGCTTCATTGTCACCTGGTGTGAAGCCTCGGGTCCAGGGCAGTTGAGCACATGATCACTCAGAGTAGAGCGATCCACTCTACTGTGGAGGAGTACAAAAGCAGAAGGTAGTAAAGGCCTTGTCTCTGTTCAGTGAACTTTGTCAGAGAACACTTAGGTTTGACTTTTTTGATATTCCTTTGTTTTTGTGGCTTAGACTACCATGTATTAATTTATGTCTTTTGAATTATGGATTCTAGCCTCCTTACAGATAGTCCACAGACATTTTAGACTTGAAATGTCCAAAAGTTAATTCAGTGTATATTCAAATCAACTTCCTCCTTGTACCATATTCTCTTTCTCAATAGCATCACCATCCCTTCTTACTCTAGAAACCCTAATCATTTAAAATTCTTCCCTCTTTAGTTTATCCTCCTCATTATCAGTCCCCATGTCTTGATTTTAGTTGTGTCATCTAGGCAAATCAATAAAGCTGTTTTAGTAAGGGCTCAGTTTTTACAGAGAAATCATCCTTACTTTCTCAAGAAGGTGGGCCTCAGGAAAAACATGAGTTAGAGCAGGTGTAGACAGCACTTAGGTGTCCGTCAGTCCTGGAACGGACCTGTTGCCTCTTTCTTGGCTTCACATTCAGCTCTCTCTCATGATTTTCCTCTTTCTCTCTCGCTTCAGCATTAACCCTAGCTAGTCCTTCATTACCTTAGTACTTCACAGCTCAGATTCCAGAAAGAACGTGGTTAAGCTATAGATACCTGTTTAGCAATGCTGCTGTGTCCTGGCCAGCCAGTGGATTCCTGGCTGCCCCTAAGTCAGGTACTTCTCCTAGCCCAGTAGTCATGTGATGCGAAATAACCTCCTAGTGCTATTCGTTTATCAGGAGATGTCCTAAGGTATGTGTTTTTTATTTTTTTTTAATTGGATCTTAATGGCTTAATTTTAGGTACTTTGGAAATGTCTTTTGAATTCATTTTCCCCCACTGCCATTACTAAGACTCCCTTATTAGCTTTAACCTGTACTAATCCAGCATTATTCTCCTACTCCCTAAACCCCACATAACTACTTCCAGGTCATCTTAACATTGCTTCTGGAGGCAGTTCCAGTTCAAATCTAATCCTGTCTCTATTTGTTAAGTAGCACCATTGAGTCCCTGAATAAAGTCCAGATTCATGTCAAGTCAGGCATAATGGTTGCTTCGTAATTTTGACCTAATTTAGTTTTCAGTCTTTTCCTTCTATTCTCTCCTGTATACCTTTGAAGCTAACCTGTAACAAAGTCCCATAAATACAAGGACAGTTGTTGTTGCTGTTCAGTCACCCAGTCATGTCTGACTCTTCACGATCCCATGGACTGCAGCACATCAGGCCTCCCTGTCCTTCACCATCTCCTGGAGTTTGCCCAAGTTCATGTCCATTGTTGCAGCATTATTTATAGTGGCAAATATATATGTAAATATATATATATATAGGTTTGTATCAAAAGGAAATTGTTGAATAAAAAATTATACATCTGTATTATGGAATAATATGCAATGTGTTAAGTCTGTTTTTGCTTGTTATATGTAACAGAAATGAAATTTACACTTGTGTAAACCAGAAGGCATATCAGTTGGTAGATGTACCCAAGGAGAGCAAGAGATGGACTGGCTTCTTGCATGACTGTATGTAGGGCTTGGAACAGTATCATCTGGAGAACATCTGTCCTTTCTTTGTGTTGATTTTATTCCCAGGCAGCTCTTCCTAAGCTATACCCAGTGGTGGTTTGTGTTCTCCCAGCTTAACAACCCAGTGAAAAACGCTTCTTTCCCAGTAGTGACAGCCAAAGTACTAGTCTTATTGGCCTGAGTCACCTGCCAATTCCTAAGGCATTCACTATGGAGAGGGGGATGGAATTTCTTGGTATCTAGGTCTGAGTCATATGCCCATCCCTAGAGCTTACTGGTGAAGGCAGCTTAAACAGCATGAACTGAAAGGGTGAGGGGAGGGGATGGGAGCAGGGTTTCCCAAAGGGAAATTGGACTGCCAATATCAGAATGAGGAAAAGTGGATTCTGAGCTGGCAAAAGTAACAGAAAGTTCCTCTAATGCAGCTTTAAAAATATCCAGAAAAGTGACTTCCGACATTTATCACGCAAGATGAAGAGGAATATGGGTGTGTTTGTGAACAGGCATATGATATGTACAGACTGACAAATCTGTGAAAGTACACATTAAACTGTTCACATTGGTGTTCTCCATAGAGGATCAGTTACAGTATTTCTATTATATATCTCTGTTGTTTGACTTGTTGCCAGGAACACATATTATTTTTGTCAGAATAATTAAAACTATAAAACCTAAAAGTGCAATGAAGAGTTTTCCTCTTAGGTGTATTGAGATACCTGGCAATTGCTTTTTGGGTGTTAGTAGTAATAATGACAACAGCTAAAATTTCCTGAGTGCTTTCTCTGCCTTAGGCAGACTGTGCATATTATATACTTTTTCATTTAACCCTTAAAATAACCTGCTGAGGTATTATTATTGCCAATGACTGACTGACTTATAAACTGAAATTTAGAGACAGTGTTAGTCATTCACAAATCTAGCTATCAAACATATCTCCAGACCCTATATGGGGGTTATAAAAATTTAACATGGGGGTGCTAAATAAAAATTTCAGGGTAGAGCCTAATCTATCTAACAGACACCCCAAGTGATTCATTTGAAGTAAGTTTATTACCAGTTTGTTTGGGAGTTTCACTGGGTTGGGTATTAAACTCAAGGTAGCACAACTAGTAAGAATCAGAGTTGTTCATACATGGTTATTACCACTGTTAAAATTAAATACTAGGTTTTTAGGTTAAATAAATCTTTGTAGACCAGCATGAAAATCTCACCAGTAATTATGGGGTATATTTCTGTAAGGAAGAATTCTGAATTCTAGGCATCAAATTGACAAATGACCATTTGCAATAAAAGACAGAAGTTTATACAAAGTAAGCTAACTCTGTCATTGGAGCAGCTGTAGTCTATACTTTGAACTTTAGCAGAATTGCAATCTTTTTTTATTGTAACAGCGTATTATTATTACACATTTATGGAATATGGTGACAGGTGTATTGTTTTGTAGAGCACTATAGTTTATCCTTTTGTCTATTTAATAAAAAATAAATTCAGAATAACACATGCCACTCCTCAATCCCTGTCCCCAATCCCCTGTCCTTTTCTCACACACACATGCACGCACGCACGCACACACATACAGAAGCATGCTTTTGTTAAATGTTACCAGCATAATTTCTTCTCTTATACCTTTAATGTAAAAACCCAAGTTGCAACTCAGTTTTGCAGACATTTAAAACGCAGAGCATTTTGCCTTTTTTTAGCATTTATAAGGAAGGAAGCCATCATATTAAGGTAGTGATTAAACTTACACAATTAAAATTTGCAAACAACCAAATTAAGCTAGGGTGATGGTAATGCACTCAGAAGTGAACTGAGATAAATGTGGTTTCCCAGTGCGCTTGTTGCCATTTGGTGGATACGGTGAACTGAGAGCAGCGCAGACAGCCCACGTCCACTCCAGCCTAGGCACGCAGACACAGCAGAAAGGCAACGAAGAAAAGAACGGGAGTGCTGTCCGCCGCACTCAATGTGCTGCCACCGTTTTTTGTATTCTTGGTTGTAGCTACACTTTCTGTGCTCATGGTTGTGGCTGCACTTTGCATATTCTTGGTTGTGGCTGCACTTTTCATATTCTTGGTTGTAGTTACATTTTTTGTACTCGTGGTTGTGGCTACAGTTTTCATATTCTTGGTTGTGGCTACACTTTCTGTATTCATGGTTGTGGCTATCGTTGAGGTCACTTCCGTATTCTTTGTTGCCTTGGGATCCAGAGATGTTTGGAGCTTTGGAGTTGTGTTGGAATTTGTGGTTGTTTGAGAACTTAGGCTGGTATCCGTTGGCATTGCTGTGGTTTTCCGCAAAGTGACATCAGCAAACAGTAGGAGCAGCATGAATAATAACTTGAACATCATTTTCCTGTTTCAAAATAATTATAGAAAATTAATCTAACACTTGGATCATAAACACATGTAAGAACTTGCATTTTTAAAAGTGATGCTGAGGAGGGAAGGGGAATGAAGAAAACCTTATCTTAGTACAAGGAAAATGCCAACCTTGGTTTAACACATAGTTTTTAAGATAAAAGGAAATTCAGAAATGATCAATATCAACTCTTTCATTTTACAGATGGGGTCAGATGTTGCTTCTCGGCCTTTTGGCTAAGATCAAGTGCAGATGGGCTCAGACAAAGGGCATAGTTTGCCTGAGGATGCATATCTAAACATGACTAGAAAAAAAAAAGATAAATAAAAATGACCAGAACTAGAACTTGAGTCTGAGTCTTAGTCTAGTGTTCTTTAGTAGATGGGGACTATGAAGACATATTATAGACATATACAAAAAGTTTACTAGTAAACCATTTTTAAAGTAAGGCTAATTTTTTTTTATCCTATCTTCAAATCTAATGGTTTGCCATGATTGAGAAAAAGCAGCTAGCCCATGTTGAACATAGTTAACTGTTCTTTTTTTTTTTAACTTAAAGCTCAAACTTTGAAATCTAATATATGCTAAATTTACATTTGGTTCTAATATGTAACTGAGAAAATTTCAATTTAATATTACCTTTTGACGTTTTTGTTTTTGAAGAATAAGGCTTCAGGCTTTCTGCAGTGTCCTATGGGGAATCTAATTTCTTACTCACTGTGTGCTATTTAAATAGAATTAGTGAGTAAGTCACGTGTTATAAACTTGACCTGGTATTTTTGCTTTGGAAATAGCCTATTGAGTGCTTTCCAAACTGGTGCAAACAGACTGTGGCAGAAATGGACAAATGCAAATAAAGTCTTGTCACTATGTAAAAGAACCCTGTGAATACCACTTTGTTATTCCTCTTACCCATGTTTGGCATTAGCAAATGTCTTCATTGGATTGAACTAACTGCAGGAATATACTCTTTGCCTACTGTGATTATCATGACTTAAAATTGAGTAAGTATATTAGAGACAGATTTTTTTTTCTTAAAATATATTGTATATATGTTTAGAGGGTAGTTTTTGGCTAGGATTATATTGGAAGTTTTCAAAATAATTCAAGAATATAGCTTTCTAGAGGTTCTAGAGTTCTAGTAAGTAATTATTCTATTAGAAAAGAGGTTAAACTTTATTAATATAAAGCTAAATAGAAAAGAAGTGCATGTGAAAATGATACTTTTCATATTGAGTTTGCAGAGTTTTTTTTTTTTTTAGTACATTCAGTTGCTCACGTTGAAGCACATGGAGTGAATTCTTCAAAGGAATTTCATCTTTTGGTCACTGCTTTTCCCTAATGAGTGTTGCACAGGGAAGTTGGGTTGTGTTGTGCTAATGTTTTCATCACATTAGCTGACTCTTTAAAAATTGCAGGGCTGTGAACAATTGTGTTGACATACAAGGAAATTGCTTCATAAATGGCAGAAGTACAAGTCAGTACATGTTTCTGTCTTGTTTTACTTTGCTTGTTTTACTTCACTTTACTTTGAAGGTTTCTTTTTCCTCCTGAATAAATAGAACCAGTGCTTGCTAAATCTTAATTTATATTAGGTACGTATAGTATAAAGAGTATAAATCTTATTTATATTAGGTACCTAGTATAAAGAGTATAAATCTTATTCATATTAGGTACAAACCTCTATTAAATTGAAAGTTTGTATGATCAGACCCAAGAAGTAAACATAAAAAGCCTCTTAGCAACCAGAGTAGATATTATAAATCAGAGCACTAAGATAATGCATATGTAAGTTTTTATTGATGCTTCAAATGCCTCAATCTCAACTTACTTAAAATTTTAAATTCAACATTTTTTCTTTTCCTGTTCTTACACACAGATGTATCTTTCTCAAATTAACTATATCACTACCTTTGATTTTTTGTTTTCTTCTTACTGATCTTAAGCTGCCCACGCCTTTGATGATAATTAAGTAAAATTAAAATTTCTGAACTCTCCAGCACTTAAATGCTCCCCCCCAAAAAAGAAGTCATTTTCCATTATTCATGCCTTTAAGTACCCCCACTTCTTTATCTTTGTGCAGTCTCCCCCATCTGCCCAGAGTATTTCTTCCTCATTCAAAATTCCATTCTTCTTTAAGGGTCTAACTCTGATGGCAGCATCTTTTTATGTGAGCCTTTCTTAATTCTATACTTTCAAATCAGACATTTTAGGACTTCGTATGTCTAGAACATATATCAGACTCTTTTTACTCTAATGTATCCCTCTGGCTTTCTTGTGATCAGGTACAACCTCTTCTTTGTACCTTCTGGCACAGTGAGTACTTGTACAGAGTAGTGTACAACAAACACTGGAATTTATTGAAATATATCATCTTTGTTTCTTCATGGGGGAGGACTGATATCATTAATGATTTCTAAAATAATAGACATTTGCTCATTTACAGCTTTCCCTACATCATAAGCATAAATTTGCAACTCAGAGGCCTGAGTTTAAGTCCCCTCTCTACTTTCTGACTTCTCTTTTGAGAGGATTTCTTACTTATATGATGTGGGTTAAAAGTGCATTCACATCATTTACCTATGTAAAGTAACAGAAATTCAACCAAGTAAGTTTTAAAGATCTAATTGGTTTTATTGAACAGTTAATGAATTGGACAGCATCCCGTCTAATAAGTAGAGAAGAGCTCCAGAGGATTATGGAAAGAGAAAGTTTTTAAAGGCAAGACAAGGAAATCATAAAAAATTATTTCAAGCTTAAGTAACTTACGTGGGGGCTGAAAAGGGTCTGTCTATGTGGCTGATTATCTCATCTTCCTTTTGAGTACGGAAATGATTAACTCATTGGTGCTGACCAGAAGATTCCACTGGTTAGGACTACATTCCTGGAGAAGGTTGTAACTGCAGTTAGATTTGATATTAAGTCTTGATTTTAACACGTGACTCCATTTTGGGCAGATTGTTTCTCTTTTTTCCTCCAATAGTGTGTAGTAGCAAGTAACTTTTCAGTGTGGACAGTTATGTTTCAAAAAGATATTTGGAAGCTTCCTGAGAAAGTGTATATGCACATGTGCAAAAACAAACTATTGTTATCTTAGACTTAACTGTGAGTATCTTAGAATTGTACATAAGTACTTCTACAGTAGAATATCAGTCTCTTCACTGTAGGAATCTAATACCAGAAAAAGAACAGATTTCTCCTTAGTTGGAAAATACATGTTTTGAGAAGTATCTGTCTCCCAGTATTCCCTCCTTCTCTTTATTAAATAGAAAGCTAAACATCAGTCTTCATTTCTGCCTGTTTATAACCACATGCATCTGATTAATCACTAAGTCTTGTTGATTCTGCTTCAAAAAAATTGTTATACTTTATCCTTACATTGTTGTACTTTATCCTTTGACTGTGTGGATCACAGCAAACTGTGGAAAATTCTTAAAGAGATGGGAATACCAGACCACCTTAACTGCCTCCTAAGAAATCTGTATGCAGGTCAAGAAGCAAATTAGAACCAGACATGGAACAACGGACTGGTTCCAAATCAGGAAAGGAGTACATCAAGGTTGTATATTGTCACTCTGCTTATTTAACTTATATGCAGAGTATATCTTGCGAAATGCCAGACTCGATGAAGCACAAACTGAAATCAAGATTGCCAGGAGAAATATCAATAACCTCAGATATGTGATGACACCACCCTTATGGCAAAAAAGCGAAGAACTAAAGATACTCTTGATGAAAGTGAAAGAGGAGAGTAAAAAAGCTACCTTAAAACTCAACATTCAAAAAACAAGGATCATGGCATCCAGTCCCATCACTTCATGGCAAATAGGTGGGGAAATAATGGACACAGTGACAGACTTTATTTTGGGGGGGCTCCAAAATCACTGCAGATGGTGACTACAGCCATGAAATTAAAAGATGCTTGCTCCTTGAAAGAAAAGCTATGACCAACCTAGACACCATATTAAAAAACAGAGATATTGCTTTGCCAGCCGAAGTCCATCTAGTCAAATTATGGCTTTTCCAGTAGTCTTGTATGGATGCGGGAGTTGGACTCTATAAAGAAAGCTGAGCACCGAAGAATTGATGTTTTTGAACTGTGATGTTGGAGAAAACTCTTGAGAGTCCCTTGGACTACAAGGAGATCAAGCCAGTCCATCTTAAAGGAAATCAGTCCTGAATATTCATTAGAAGGACTGATGCTGAAGCTAAAACTCCAATACTTTGGCCACCTGATGCGAAGAACTGACTCATCTGAAAAGACCCTGATGCTGGGAACGATTGAAGGCAGGAGGGAAGGGGGCAGCAGAGGATGAGATGGATGGATGGCATCACCGATTCTATGGACATGAGTATGAGCACGCTCTGGGAGTTGTTGATGGACAGGGAAGCCTGGTTTACTGCAGTCTATAGGGTTGCAGAGAGTCAGACAAAACTGAACTGAACTGATCCTTACCTTACAGACTGAATGGGTAGTTTTATCAATTATCCAAGCAGGGATTAGCAAGCTTATTTGTCAAAAGACTAGGTAATAAATATTTTAAGCTTTACAAGCCACATAAAGCTTTTCTTTTTTTCTTGTTTTTGTTTTGTTTTGATTTTGGTTTTTTAAACAAAAAGAACCATTCTTACCTTGCAGGTCACACAGAAACAGGCTGCAAGTAGCATGTCACTGGACACTAGTTTGCTGCATTCTAATCTAGGCTGTTGACAATATAAATATTACATATATGTAATCATTCAGTGATAGTGTTAAGGCTAATCTCCAGTTTTAATTATGGATACACACGACTATAGTTTAAAGGAAGAAGACGATTTAATAATAGTGATTAGAGTTGGAGTCCTGAATTGAGCCAGAAGATTTCTCGAGTGGTTTTGTTTCCTGTGATCCTTAGTTTATAGAAGTATAGTGGCCTTGGGCGTTAGGAAACAAGGCTTTGGTTTACTCAACAAAGATGATGTAGTGATTGATACATAGTGAATAATTTGGTAGTTATGACTTGACAGTACTTAAAAAGAAGCAATTAGTGGCTGCAATCCATCTATTGCTATGAAAACAGTACAGTTATCTTATATTGATTGATTATATTTTTAATCAACTGTGGCTCACCTCTTTTAGTGTAAATATATAAGCCTTGAAAGGAAATAATCCTGAGATATGTTTATGAGGCTTGATATTATGAAACAACATATAAAAATTCTAAAACAAGCATCTAAGGGTAAATGTATCCAAGTGCATGTTGTTCCCTTCAGAAGAGTCACTGTTGTAGGTGAGGTACTTCCTTTAAACCCTGATGCTTTTGAGCGCACATTTTAAGAGAAGTACATTTTTGGAAGTGTAGTATGTTCTATGTAAATGTGGTTGGAAAATCTTCATTCTTGAAAGTTTTTGGTAAAGCAAAATGTCATTTAGTAATATTTTTGCTTAAAATGATTTTTTCTTGTGTTATATATAAACTGGCTTGTAGTAATATTTGAAAGAAAGGCCCCAAAGGTGTTTTCACTAATGACAGCCTCATTGGAATAAGAGCTTAACTACTCAAATATGACTGCTTTGAAGAAAAATATAAAGAAATTTAGACATGTGTTATTTGTATTTAGAATTATAATCAGTTTATCATATCATCATAGTTAATATAGGAAGATGTTTTACTAGTTTCAGGTGACTCCTTCATTCTTTGATTACTTTTACTATGTTTTAAAGAGGCTTTAGCCTTTACAGTATGTTTCTTAAGTTCATGT